ACGCACGTGCGGATCTATAGGTGGTGTGGAAAGGATATAGACAGATACAGATACAGATTTGTGTGTGGTTATTTATTTATGATATCCTTGCCTCATTTCAAGGACATGGAAGTTTTTGAAGACAAAGTGGTTTTTTTTCCCTCTATCTATTATTAATGTCAGTTTTTCAACTCATCTCGGTGAGCCTAAGAGGAGAAAGGTGGGTAAGAAAGCGGCACCTGCTGAATGCCTGATGTTTGCCTGAATTCTAGGTGTTTCACATGATGTGATTCTCTTCTAACCCCCATGCCCATCCCATGAGGCAGATTTAGAGTCTCTTTATCCTGCAGTTAATGGGAATCGGTGAAAATCTACTTAAAGAAAATCTGCTGGAAATGGAACCAAACCTCATACCAAACAGCGAAGAAAATATCTTGTTAGTACTTTATCACAAAAAATATAATTAAAATACAAAAAAGTGTTTATTGTATCTCACAATTAACAAAATAGAAGTTATAATTTCAACTATGTTCTAATTTTTAGAATGAATAAAGACTGAATCGAGTGTTAATTTGAGGGTATATTTTCCATGCCCCAATGATACAATACAATATGACTTCACATTTTATCTCCTCAACATTTGGGGGGAAGGATTGTATGAGATTTTTCATCCTTTGAAGTATCGATTTGACTTTCATTGTTGGAGTAGGATTGTCACTTGTTAATGGCTTTGCCATATTTAGAACATCTCTCCATCATCATGTCCATCAACTTCATGAAATCTTGCATTTTTTGTAAGTTTTGCCTTTTCACTGTGCAAACGGTTCACATTGTACTGCTGGATGCGATACCTGATGGGGAGGCAGGGATGGACCCACACAGCCATGCACACCCAGGATATAGGCTGTTGTGAAATCATCAAGGATGTTTGCATGGAGACTTCATTACAGAAATGGGTTTTGGTTATGGGGAGTTTTGCTGCCCTGTGCAATCTCTCTTAACCCTAGAGACTGGGATAAAGGATAAGATAACAAAAAACCCTTGCATTGTCACTCCAGCATTATAGTTGAGAAACTGAGGCTCTGAAAAACAAACCTATCCAAAGTCATCTAGTTTATGGGTGGTGAGCCAAGATTCAGATCCTGCCTCACCATTATTCCTGCATTACAAACTACCACAAAATTTAGCAGCTTAACACAACACACATGTATCATCTCAGTTTCCGTGAGGCGGGAGCCAAGCATGGCTTACCTGAGACTTCTGCTTGGAGTTTCTCACAAAGACCACATGATGAAATTGTCAGTCAGCTCTGAGGTCCCATGTGAAGGTCTGACTGGTGAAGGATCCTGTTCCAAGCCCCTTTCTGTGGGAACTGGGAGAATTCAGCTCCTTGGGGGCTGTTGGATTGAGGGCCTCCATTCTTCTCTGGCCAATGGCTGAAGGCCACCTTCACTTCCACATGGGCCTTTCCTCCATGTCAGCTTGTGTCATCAAAGCCAGCAAGAGACAGAATCTACCAGCAAGATAGTAGTCACTGTGATTCAAAGAGGCTGTTGGACTGACTCATAGAGAATAAGGAAATCTCGGGGCGCCTGGGTGGCTCAGTGGGTTAAGCTGCTGCCTTCGGCTCAGGTCATGATCTCAGGGTCCTGGGATCTCAGGGTCAAGTCCCGCATCGGGCTCTCTGCTCAGCAGGGAGCCTGCTTCCCTCTCTCTCTCTGCCTGCCTCTCTGTCTACTTGTGATCTCTCTCTGTCGAATAAATAAATAAAAATCTAAAAAAAAAAGAGAGAATAAGGAAATCTCTGCACACAGTGGGTGCTTTACCTTTGGGGAATTTCGGTTGAGGGTCAGTAGGATTCTGATGTAGTCTGAGGGATTGTATATTCTGCCCAAGGGCAAGAACCAAGAATGCTGACTGAGGATCAAGTCTTACGGTGGCATCAGAAATACCTGCTCTGTTGCGCTTGTCCTCCCATGGCTGAACTGCGAGCCAGCAGCCCCTTCTTGGTCTCTGGCTGGCTGTGCCCGGTCTGTTCCCACAGCATCTCCCTGCAGGCCCCATGGCCACTCCCAGTGCTGCCCCTACTCCTGTTGTGACCCTAGCACCTGAGCCTGGAGGCTTGGTTCCTCCTCTGTAAAATGGGGTGCAAATATAATGATGACAGAAACCCCACCTCACAGGAGCACAAGAGAAAATGATGCACAAATGATTAGATAAATTGTAGTTTTCACCCTGTTTGTCCCACCTCAAGGGAAGCTCGGGGGTAATCCTTGCTGTTAGGCCCTCATTCCCAGCAGGTTAAGCTTTGTTCCTATAAGGGAGTCCAGGGCTGGCTGAGAAGAAGGTGCGGGAATCCCAGGTGCTGCTGTGCAGAGCTGTGGCCCAGCAGAGATAGGGTGTCAATGGCTTGGAACTTACACTTGAGACTCCAAGTACAGCTGCAAAGCAACCTCCCCTCTTACCCTCCATGACCCTGGCAGGGGAGGGTGATAAGATTCAGAGGGTACAGGTAGGAGGTGGTGTGTGATTTAAGGGCATGTCTGAGACCCTTGACCCCGACTAGCCTCGTTCGCCAAGACAGCCAGGATCCCGCAGACTGGAGGACAGCTTTTGGTTCTCCCCCAGACTTACTTCCTGTCCTGGATAAACTGAGACATGGCAGTCAACTCTAGCTAAGCCTCAAATACATATCCAACCCCTTGGTCTCTTGGAGGTTTTCAGTCTTGTACTCTGAAAGCATGTGGTGAACACTCAGATCATAACCTCTGTAATGATCTGTCCTGTGTTTCCTGCACTGCACTAGGAGGTCCTTGGAAATGAGGGCTAGGTTTTATTCATGTTTGTATCCTTAAAACCAGTGCTATGCCTGGGACACGATTGATAATAAATCAGAATAAAATAATAGCTAGCAGGTTGTGAGGGCACTCTTCTAGGCACCTGACACAGATTATATCATTGAATAATGGAGGATGTGTGCACTTTTATTAAGTTCGTTTTCTAGATAAGGAAGCCAAGACACCAAGAGTTTGTGTAACTTGCCCAAGATGACACAGCATAGGAGAAGGAAGGGGATTCTAATCTAGGGCTTATTTCCAGAGCCTATGAATGAATAAAATGAAGTCTTGACAGACCTAGATTTGGATTTGCAGAATCATCTAGGAGCCCGTTCCCCAAGGCCTGCGGGGGAACCAGTCAGTGATGAGTGTGTGAATGGGAAAGCACCAGCTTCATTTGCATGATCCTGTGTGGTTGACCAAACCACTCCCCATCCATTGTCTCCTGTGGTCCTCACAACAGCCATGATCTCCAGGTGGAACCATTATTCCCATTCTATGAATGTGATCACTGAGATTCCCAAGGTCAATGAGCTATTCAAGCCCACATAGAAAGTACTCCCTTTGAGCCTGTGTCTCTGGACTCCACAGTCCTGTGGTCTTTTTAACTGACAACACAATTATCCAGATGGAAATGAATCCTTCTGATGAATTTCTCCATCTCTGAAATGGGAGTTCATGTCTATCTGAGGCGGGGGGTAGGGGGTAGTTGTAAGGATGACCTGATAGATGTAGAGTGACAAGGGGTAGGCGCTCACTAATGGGTGAGGTGGGAGTTGATGTTACCACCCCCACTGTCACCACTACCACCATTATCATCACCAGAGAAGACCTGAGATTCGGGGTAGCATATTCTAAGCATGGGTTTGGAGCCATAAATTGAAGTAAAATGGCCAAATATAGGAAGGAGCGTAAAATCTGGCATAGATCCCTAGGTAAGGTTGGGAATATAGATTCAGTTCTGCAGATCAGAAGGCTTACTGATCAGAAGACGTGATCAGGACCACCAAGAGTCAGAGCCAGGACTCGCATCCTCAGCCAAGACCAGGAGCAGATGTTTCCAAACCTTACCTTGTGGGTCTTACCGTGATGGCATGAGATAGTTTTCTCTTTGGTCAAACTGTGAGTTCATGACGGCAGATCCAGCATATTCATCATGGAATTCCAGCTCTCTTTCCCCCATGCCTGCCATATAAATATTGAAGAAATGAATGAGTGAGTGAGTGAATGAATGCACCAGCATGACCCCACTTACATAAGCAAGCCCACAGCACGTGGGCTGGAACCCAGCAGGGTGGAGAGCCAGATCACACAGAACAGAAGAACCTGGAGTATGTGGTACCAAGCCTCACCCATGGGCCCGAGGGAGCCTGGTGCTAAGCATTTCACCAGAGACTTTCCACCAGGAAGGAGGGAGAGCCATTTCTCTTTGCTGATATCCTGAAGCATGCACACACACGAACATACACACACTACAAGCTCTCCCTCCCCCCATCCTCCCGCCAACTGAATTTATGTAGATAATCATCTTAAAGGACTGTTTGCAGTTTGCTCCTGCCTGAGACAGGGGCATGAACCAGAAGACACTTCTGTGACTTTTCCAGGTGCTGCAGGCTGCATCCTTCTCTATGGCGGGTCCTGTTCTTTCTAGTATGAAGACCACTTTGTAATTTCAAAAACAATTCTGAAGGGCCCCAGATGAAAGAGGTCATTTCCTTTATTAACTGGGGACTGTAAAAAGAATAATACTAAGCCATGGAGACAGAGGTTTTTGCTGAATTTAACGATCTTTCAAACGAACTTGTCATTTGTTTGTACTGAGACTGTTTCGCATGTTTGAAAACCATTGTTCTATATGTGCGGGACGCACCATTCATTCATTTATATTCCTGTTGCTTTACCAAAGCTTGTGGGAACTTTTGGTCTGGAAGATGTCTGTAGCCCCCAGCTGAGTCCACTAATCAGCTGTTAAAGCAAAAGTGTGCACATTGCTTACCTTTCCTCGGGTCTGTTTTCTTTAGCTGGAATAATAATCCCTACCTGCCTCATCGGTTTGTGGGGCGGTTACGTGGGATAATGGGTCAAGCACCTGCCAGTGTCTCAGGGAAGTTGTTGCTTCACCATGGTTGATGCCGTCCTCTGGAGCTAGTCGGTACTAGGTGCTTCCTCCTTCCTCCCCTCCAGGTTCCTCATTGTCCTGGGATGCTTGATTCTGGCCGTGCTGACCACATTCAGGGAGTACGAGACCGTTTCGGGAGACTGGCTGCTGTTACTGGTGAGATTTTGCACCTCCCCCCACAGTGTGCTTCCAGGATCGATGCCTCTGGTTGGACTTCAGTTGAGCAGTTGAGAACAAGGAGGCTGCCCTTGGGCACAACTGGTTTTGGCTTCCGGGCCAAGCCCAGCCCCAGGAGAAACCAATGCCTGGGTCAGTTGGGCAGGTCTGCATGGGCGCGGTGGAAGGGAATGGTATTTTTTATTCTAGACTAAGGACAAAAGGGCACCAACAAGGTCAAAGCGAAAACCCTTACGTTAGTTATATGATAAAGGCAGCTTCCCAGTCCTCTGAAAGTTAACACAGAGTCATGCTCTGTTCTGAAACCTGCCTCTGCTTTTTCTCCCTAAACCCTGAGGATTTCTGACTCCCTTCAAGGCCAAGTACCAAATCCTATTTGTACATTAAAACTCGTCCTCACTCCTGAGGCCTCTGCCTGGTTTATCTCTCTGTTCACCCATCTACACAGGGAAGGGATGCCAGCCCCCGATTAGGGTCTACAAAATAGCAGGATCTTCACCTTGCACTGAGCATGCTGTCTGTGATGCCAGATGCAGGGGGTTCCTTCTGAAGTCAGGTGATTTCAATTCATACAGTCTCACGTTAAGACCTGAGCAGGTGAATCCCGAGAAGCTATCTAGCTCCAGGAACTAGGTTTCAGGGATTATCATGGAGCAGCAACTCTCCAAGGGTCCCAGGAGGTCACCAAAGAGGGGGACAAAGGTGTCTGTGTCTGACCAACAAGAAAAGAGAGGCAGGAGGGAAGGAAGAGATGCAAGGTCCAGGGAGACAGCACAGCGTGGTGCTCTGAGCCTGATTATCAGCCTGGGAGTCCCTCTTCACCACGTCCTAGTCTGGAGAGACTTGTGTAACTACTCCTTGCCTTGGTTTCTCAAAACATAGAATGAGAATAATATTATAAAACACTTGAGGTGGTGCCTGGCCCAGGAGCCATGCTTAGTAAATGTTGACCATAAGTAGCAATAGCCAGGGCCAGGCACTGGGTAGGACTAGCAGACTGTGTTTCATTGGTCTTTCTCTTTTCCATTTAACTCACTTAGAGACTTTGACTTTTCATACATGAAAACAGAATTTTAAGAAATGATCCATTGGAACCGAAACAGAAAAAAACAAAGAATCCCTTTGCAAAGCTGATGTTAGGGACAGTTAGCACATCCACACGGACACTGCAGCTGTCCAAAACTGCATGGAGGTGATAAAGTGTTCTCCTTCCCACTCCGCCACCAAAACAGCAACAGAAATCCCGCTCTTCAAAACCTCAGAGCAGAAATCACTAGTCCCAGACAACTGGGTCTTGGTTGATCCGTGTCTCTCCATATGTTCTTAATGCAGGAAACATTTGCTATTTTCATCTTTGGAGCCGAGTTTGCTTTGAGGATCTGGGCTGCCGGGTGTTGCTGCCGCTACAAAGGCTGGCGGGGGAGGCTGAAGTTTGCCAGGAAGCCCCTGTGTATGCTCGGTAGGTAAGCCCTGACCCGAGTCAGGGGGTGCCCCCGTCCCCCTGCTTCTGGTGCACCATTTCCCCGAGAAGATTTTCAGCAGCTTCTGTCCTTCTGGGAAACCATGTGTTGTAATGGAAACCTGCGCAGCCTCTGACCCTCCCTCAATGAGGAGGAGCTGCTCCAGTGTTCCAGACGCAGAATTCCTTCTTCCGTGGCTTGCCCTCCTCATGGCTTTACAGGGCCATGATCCTTGATGAGAGTGGTGGGGGGCACTCCTGGCATTTGGGCTGTGAAGGCACCACTTATTATAGGATGCTGAGCACCCCCAGTCCCTAGACTGGTAGCCTCCGGCATCGTGACAACCAAAATTGCCTGTACACTCCCAAGACTGGTGGTTGTGGGTGTGGGAGGAGTGACACCACTGCTGGTTGAGAATTGGGTCTATGGACCCACATTGTGCCCATTTTACCGAGGAGAACACCGAGGCTCGTGGTGCTGAGTCATTTTCTAGTCACACGGGTAGGAAGCAGCAGATTCCACCCTAACACCAAGGTCTGGAAGAATCTAGCACCTGTACCCTCCCTCCCTACCATGTTGCTGGGTCTTGACCCTGAAGCTGCTTTGGGAAGACATCACCGACACCTTTGCCTCTGGGTGCAGGCATTTGATAGTAGAGAAGGTGGACCCTTTTACTTACCCCTGTTGGTGCAGCATGAAGGCATGTTTCCATCTGAAGATCCCACTAAAATCGGAGAGTGGCAGTGACAGGGAGGAGTTGGAACCTCAAATTCCTCGTGATGGTTAAAGTTACAGGATCACAGGACCTTGAAAGACCCTCCAAAGGTACTTAGTCCAACATGCCGTCCCGTCTGATGCTCCCATCCTCTTCACAGCAGCAAGTGGTCATCTGCTTGCATACCTCCAATCCCAGGGCGCTCACTACGTCCCCCATATTTATTCCATCTGCAGTATTCTGACTCTCTTCAGATACTTGAGTTCAGTAATTCTGTTCCTCCTCTCCACTGTGGCAGTGGAAAAGTGCGCTTAGTGGCTTCAGCTGTACCTCGTACCGTGTTCTCAGCATCGTCCTCCCTCTTCTCCAAGCATGCTCACTTGCCTTTTAAAAAGTGACCCCCCAGGACTGAACATGGCCCTTTGGGCATGGATGGCCAGCCCTCCATGCTTCCTGCTCCAGAAAGAGAGCAGGAGCCCTCCCCTGTCCTAAGGGCCACACTTCTCTCTGGGCAGCCGGGGGGCCTGACTTACTTGCAGGTTGCCTGGCACAGTGACTGTACCCCCTGACTGCTGTTTGAACCCCCTCTTCCTTCTTCTCATCTGCTGCTGAGGCTGGACCCCCGAGGGTTTTATGTATCACACAACGTTTAATGCAAAGAGAGTCTATGTGGGCGTGGGTGTGCATAGACGTGCATACAGTTTTGGAGGACTTTGTAGTTAATGATTTTTTTTTCATGTTTTTCAACCTTCTCCCTTTCTTGTCCTCCTTCCCTGTCTGCTCCTATCTCAGTCCATTCTGGCAACTCTAACAATGCCACAACTGCCACCTTATGAACCAGACAAATGTATTTCTCACGGTTCCAGAGGCCGGAAGTCCAAGATCAGCGTGCCAGGCTCTGGTCGAGTCCCTCTTCTGGGTCACGGACTGCCCACTTCTTGATCTCCTTGCTGTGGCCTCAGGAAAATGTCATCAGGGACCTGATCCCTTTTGTGAGGGCTCCACCCTCATGACCTCACCGCCCCCCACAAGCCCTGCCTCCTAAGCCCGTCCCACTGGGGGCCAGGATCTCAGCAGCTGAATTGGGAGGACACAAACATTCAACCCATAGCATCCCCAGTTTGCCTTCCCTTCTTCTGCCTTCCTTTAGAGTCTTTTGCAAGGTGTTAAGTGGACTTCATTTTCTCCTTTGGAGAGTCCTATCCAGTGCTGACCAGAAGTCCTGTGCATGTGTTGAGGGGGAGTGGGGGAAGTGACTTTGTACCCAAATTCAGAGGTTCTCACCCAGTTTGAGAACATCCTAGTATTGTATGGAGCCTGAACCCTTCCAGGAAAAGAGCATTGCCCATGGAACAGTCTCTACTGTTCCAAAAGGGGCTGATTTGACTGAGCTCCCTGTCACGTTCCATTGCCAGCCTCCCCTGGAGACCCGAGACCAGCCCTCAGCATCACCATCCTGGCCGCCTTCCTTTCTGGGATGCCTGTGTTTTCTGTTTTCCTCCTCTCAACTTCTCCCATAACATGGCCCTTATGAGAAATACTGCTTTTCTCTGTGTGTTTGACTTGAGGGTGGTCACCCGCCAGGGAATATCATGGCCTTCATATCTGAGGCAGCTCCAGACCCTGCCATCTTGGGTGTGAGTCGGTCCATCTGGGACAGAATCTCCCATTCTCTCCGAGCATTATAGACTCAACTCACATTTGCCCTACATCCAGGTTTTGTTTTCTCTTCCTTTCTGCAAACATTATAAGTGGATAACTTTGCACAGATCAGCTGAGAGGCCTGGCCAAGGATACAGACATGTTGGTATCCAGACGTTTGACACTGAGCTTTTCCCCAAAATTAGGCACATCTGGGGGATACCTTGAAATGGCAGAGATACTGAGGTGTGAATTGAGGGACCTATTCCAAGCTGGAAGACCAATACAGCAGAGGTTTGGAGGTCCGGGAGAGACCTCCTAAACAGTCCTATGGCCAAAGTCTTTGGGGAAATGCTGTACTTTGTGTGTGTAATTGAAAGCCACAGAGCATATTAGGATATTGAAGGTTCCTAGAAATCCTACAGTAGCAAAAGGTGCTTAATCATTTCCCCCCAGATTTACTTGGTTGTGGGGTCCCTTTTACCTGATGACCCTCTGCAGTGTGGTGGGGAGATGGTTGGTATGGGTGTTGGGGGCCACTAGAGGGAATAGGAAGGGACCAGCAGATATGCCTCTGTCCTTGGCTATTGGCTTCAGGAGCCAGCTTGGAAGGAGAGGAAGAAGAGGACGGACATGAGCAGGAGTACTACAGCACGCACAAGAAGGCAGACCGGGGTTCCAGTCCCCTCATCCCCTCCGCTTCTCTGTTTTCAGTCGCAGCTGTGAGGGCAAGCCACATGTTTTACTGCAGTCTACCCTAGGGCCTTTCCTGAAGCCAAGAGAGACCACCAGGCCGTGCAGCTCAAAAGTGTGGGGACATCACCTACCCCTGGGGTGACCCTCCACCAGCAGGGGACGGAAGCCAACGGACAGAGGTCCCAGATCCCATCTTCCAGAGTGACCATCCTGGGAAGCAGCTTATAACTCCCTTTTCCTTGCCTCTCTCCTTCCCTGTCTCCCTCTCCCCTCTCTGGTGCCTCCTGAGATGGTCTCCCGGCGAATCACCCAAGGCCACGGCCCTGATTTGGTGCTGCTTTTAGGGGAAACGTTCCTTCAACCATGTCTGAGCTTCAGGCTTTCCCTGCATGGCTATGGCATATTCCTGTCCCCTCTGGGCGTGAGAGTGACCCTGCAACCCTGGGGGACCTTGGGGACTCGCTTCCCTGGGACAGAGAGTGAGTGCTGGAGCCTGGCAGGCCCTCATTCAGGGTCCACTCAGCGATATCCATCCGGCCCTGTAGCCATGGGAAGGCGCACACGCTCAGGTTCTGTTTCCTCATCTGTTGCGGGAGAATAATCCCGCGGAGCACGTGTGACTGGTGTCACGATTTCACACCGTCCGCTTGGCACGTGTGCGTCCACGGGCAGCCAGCCCCTGTGACGGCTCCACCACACTTGCCTGACCTTCTCGTCCTCTCCCCGGCCACCCTCTGTCCTCCTTCCCAGACATCTTCGTGCTGATCGCCTCTGTGCCGGTGGTTGCTGTGGGAAACCAGGGCAATGTGCTGGCCACGTCCCTGCGCAGCCTGCGTTTCCTGCAGATCCTGCGTATGCTGCGGATGGACCGCCGGGGTGGCACATGGAAACTCCTGGGCTCGGCCATCTGCGCCCACAGCAAAGTAAGTGCCACCCAGGAGCATCTCCCCCCGCTGGGCCCTTCAGGGCATCCCCCGCCCTCACAGCATCCCCAGAGGGTGGTCGCTTTGCCACCACTGGTGACTGGATGGGGAGGAGGAGGAGGAGAAAGAGCAGGGGCACCAGCAGGGGGGCCGCAGCTGGCACAGCAGGCAGATCTGGGTTCAAGTCCCGGGCTCCACCGAGTGCCTACGACCATGGCCAAGTCACTCCACTCTCCTTGAGCCTTGGTTTCCTGATTTCTAAACTAGGGAGAACAATGGCTCTGCCTCCAGGGAGGTGAGGGGGTCAAATGAGCCAACCTCTGGCGGCTCAGGATGGGAGGGGAAGCTTCAGGACTGGTCCAGACTAGTGGGAGTCCAAACTCCATTGGTGTGACTCTGGGGATTTTCTGACTCTGAATTTAGAAAATGAGGATCATAATGTGCTCACTTCCTAGAGTGAAAAGACTTAGAACATGCTCTATTTTTATGAGCTGCCTTAACAGTTAAAATGAGGATCCTTCTGGCTGTCCGCACAAGAAGAGGTACATATGAGTGCCTGGTAAACGGTAGGTGCTCTTTAATGGTAGTGTTCATTATTCCAGATATGCTTTTCTTCACAAACAATACAAATAAATACCTAAATAAAGTGAAATACACTTGGAGTCCTTCATCTCACGATGCTGCTCGTTTGACCCATCTGTGCTGCCTCTGACCCCAGATTCGGCGAGGTCAGCGCTTTCTTTCACGAGTTCTCCACCTGACGGTCCACTCTTAATCAGAGGACATGCTAGTGACACCTAACCTTTTATGGGTTTTTTTATGTTTTTTTAAATTTTTTTTTAAGATCTTATTCATTTGACAGAGAGAGATCACAAGTAGGCAGAGCAGCAGGCAGAGAGAGAGGAGGAAGCAGGCTCCCCACTGAGCAGAGAGCCCGATGCAGGGCTTGATCCCAGGACCGGGACCCTGAGATCATGACCCGAGCCGAAAGCAGAGGCTTAACCCACCGAGCCACCCAGGTGCCCCGACACCTAGCCTTTTATCCACGAAGCTGAGCTGATGCACAGCTCCCGTAGAAGTCAGGGCGAAAATGGCTCGTTTTGATTCTCATCCTGGGTTCCCTCCGATCGGAGTAGAAAACAGTTGCCGATCCACCAGGTAATTCCTGGGAACAGATACATCCACACCACCACCAGACTCTACCTCAGAGGTCAGGTGGGCAGAACTTCCGGACAAAATGGTATCTCTATGGTAGGAGACCAAAGGCAGAAAAAGAAACTGCTGGTCAAGCTCCATCTGCCATTCCTCCCTCTCAGACGACCCCCTTCTTAGCCTGGTGCAGTTCCTGAGCTGCACAGAGGCCGCCCAGCCTGCCTTCCCTCCCAGGGCCGGCGTTGTGTTGAGGAGGTGAGCACACGCCTGGGTTGGAGTCCTGCTTCCACATTTATTAACTACAAGAGCTTAGCCCAGTTCCTCCTCCAAGCCTGGTGAACCGGCACTTAGCACTTGACGTCTTCATCCATTTGTTCCAAACTTCTGGACTCTGGACCATGTTCCATGATTGACTTCTCTGGGAGCCAACGATGCTGAGTGGGAGGCCCGAGGTTGCACAGGGTTACAGTTTCAAAGTTAGGATAAGGCCAGGCTGTGCTACCAGAACAAAGAAGCCCCAAAGGCTCTGCAACTTGGTGCAAAAAAAGGTGGATGTCTTCTCACTCACATGGCGGATGTGAGCTAGGTGGCCCTCATCTGTCCTGAAAATGAGGACTGAGTCACAGAGTTAGCAGAAAAGGGGCTGGGAGCACCATGCAGAATGGATTTAAGGAACAGGCAGGAAGTTGCTGCCAACTTTCCTCCACATTGGCTCCACCCTAACCCCCTAGCACCCCAGCCCTCCAGCACCCCAGCCCCCAGCACCCCAGCTCTGGTCTGACTTCAGGGCAGCTCAGGTGTGTACAGGAGTCTGTGGGTATCAGGAATCAGCCATGGGCTCTGCCACAGAGCTACTGGCATAAATTGTGTAAAGTCAGAATTACCTCGAATAGCCTTTTAAATGACTGCAAAGCACAGAAATGGGACACATTTTCACTCCTCGTCAATGACCATTATGCTACTTCTTAATAATCCAACACAACCAGGCTTTCAGTGCGGTCATGAACAGACAACAGTTTCCGAAGCTCAGCACCAGATGCAACTTTTGACTCGCGTTCAGGTGCCAGAGGGTATGAAAAACATAGGCATGCTAGAGCCGCACTCAACAGGGCAAGAGGCTGGTGCCCTGATGGCCCCAGGGGAAGGACTTACCATTTCACCTTTGTCTTCTCCAAGCCTGGGCAGGGCAAACACTCGCTGAAGGGGGTGACCCGCAGGGGTCCTTGCGCCATCTGAACCAACCTCTCTGGGCTGTAAAGTGAATTCACGCAGATGTGAGTTTTGTTGTGGGGGAAGTCAGACCTGAGCAGCAGGCATAGGAAGTGTTAGAGATTCAGAGAAAGCCTACTCAGGAAACAGCGAACGCGTGAAGAACTAGAGCTGACCTCAATATCGGGACGCAAGGGAAAACTTTTGAAATGGAGGTTGCCGCTTCCAGCCGGCGACGGGAGAAGAATTAGGCACAAACAAATCAGCTGCAAGAGCTTGGGAGCAGGGGACAACAGATGAAAAGACTGCTGCCACGAGTAACTCCACAGTCTTACTTTTATTGGATAGAAACAAAAGCCAACAGAAGGACGGATGAAAGTCAAACGTCAGTCACCTGTCTTGCGGACAAGCAAGGAGGAGGACAAAGTTTATAGTTAACCAAGCACATTCAAAGGACTCATCTAACTAACAACGGGTGCTTCTGGGAAGAGAAAGGAGCGGTAACGGAAAAGGGAAGCAGGCGGTTTTCGTTCCACCCTGAGCTGACCGGACGTTCCCGGGGGCTCGGCTTCTGCGAAGCAGGTGGCGTTCTGCCCTGGGCAGGCCGAGCATTCCCGGCTGCCCGGCTTCTGTGAAGGGGCGGCCTTCTGCCCTGCAGTGAGCATCCCCAGCTGCCCAGCTTCCCGGTCGTATATCGTCCTTCTCCCCAAAGACCTGTTGCCAGTATATGTATTTCTTAAGGCCATATCTAAATGTGCTTGGCAACCAGTAAAATCCTCCAGGGGTTACAGTTTAAGTAACAAATTGTTCCGAGGGGCAGCAGCAGGAGGTGACTCCGGTCTCAAGATGACGCTGCTCTTCAGTTGGGCCCATGGGAAAAGGCAGTGCAGGGACAGCGGCCAATGTGAGCAAAGGCACAGAGGGAGGCAGGAATCAAGCCCGAGATCCTACGGACCCAGAAGGCCAGCTGCCTGGCCGCCGATGGTCAGACAGAGGAAGTACACTGATACGAACAACTTTATTCCCTGGGATGATTTAGCAAGAGCGTCGGTCCTCATCTCCAGACTGTGCTCGCCAATCACCTTGACTTTCTTCTGCCCAGGCTACCATGCTGAACTTTGAAATTGGAGCAGAATGAGAGAAATAGAGTCTTAGGGATTGTTTGGGTCAAGGTGTTTGAAAACCTTGGTGATTTGCGGATCTTTGCCATATCCCTGCACCATCCTTACTATTCCTTAGCATTGTTCTCTAAGTCAACTCGCTTTGTGCACTTACTCACACGTCCTAATCTGTTGTGTGATAATATCCACGAAATAAAAGATTTTATGCTCATTTTAATTTATACTGGTTTTTAGTATTGTTTAAATCAGGATGTGACTCTTTAACATAAAAACTACCTGCCTTCCTTCCATCAGGAGTACACAGGTCATTTTTAAGAACTGCGATCCACTCCCTTCATTTTGAAAATAAAGAAACTAAAGCTGGGAGGGGGCTAATTTGCCCAGGGTCGAGGCAATCAGTGGCAGGGCTGGGTTAGCTCTGCCTCGCTAGGTCCCCCTGCTGTCGGTTTTCCAGTAGTGCTGAGCTTTATCCTGGATCTGCTCAGCCCTGCATGGAATCAAGTACCCCCGGTCCTGTGCCTCAACTAGGAGGCAGATGCCCATTTTGCCTGCCTTCCTGTCTCCCTGTGAAGCCTCTTGAGCTGTGATGTCAAGGTCACCTGAAGACAGAAATCTTCCTCTCCTCTTTGATTATTGATGTTATTGATGGAAATAAGGACTGTATTATTATCAAAAAGACAAGAAGCAACTAGTGTTGGCAAGGATATGGAGAAAAGGAAGCTTCGTGCTCTGCTGGTGGGAATGTAAATTGGTGCAGCCATTGTGGAAAACTGTATGGAGTTTCCTCAAAAAATTGAAACCAAAATAAAATAAAATAAATAAAAAATCGAAACCAGAAATGCCATATGATCTAATAATTCCACTACTGGGTATTTATGCAAAGAAAACAAAAACTCTGATTCAAAAAGATACATGCACCCCTAAGTTTATTGCAGCATTATTTACAGTAGCCAAGATATGGAGACCAACTAAATGCCTACCAGTAGATAAATGGATAAGGAAAATGTGGTGTACATACACAGAGGAATATTACACAGCCATTAAAGGAGGAGATCCTGCCATTTGTGAGAACATGGATGGGCACAGAGGATATCAGGCTAACTGAAATCAGACAGAAAGACAAATACCATATGATTTCCCTCATAAGTGGAACGTAAAAACAACAACAACCATCACATGAATAAACAAACAAAAAGCAGAAACAGACCGAGAAATACCGAGAACAAGCCAATGCTTGCCAAAGGGAAGGGGATGGAGAATTGGACAAAATGGGTAAAGGGGAGTGGGAGATACAGGCTTCCAGTTGTAGAATGAATACATTATGGAAATAGAAGACACAGCAGAAAGAATACGGTCTGTGCTGTGGCACTGTATGGGGACAATGGGAGCTATACTTGTGGTGAGCACAGGAACATGTATAAACTTGTTGAATCCCTGAAACTCATGTAATTCTCATAAGTTTCTATTCTCAAATTTAAAAAAAGAAAAGGAAGGAGGAAAGGCTCAGAGGTAAGGCTCAGGGAAGGTAAGTAACTTGCCCACAGTTGCGGAGCCAGTAAAACGGGCCCCCAGCTCTGGTGTGTCTGCCTCCAGCGTCCATCCAGAGACTTCCCAGTGACCACTTCCCTTGTCCACTGCTTGCTCTCCCAGGAGCTCATCACCGCCTGGTACATTGGGTTCCTGACGCTCATCCTTTCTTCATTTCTTGTCTACCTGGTTGAGAAAGATGTGCCAGAGGTTGATGCCCAAGGAGAAGAGATGAAGGAGGAATTTGAGACCTATGCAGATGCCCTTTGGTGGGGCCTGGTGAGTCACCGTCTTGGATGTCCCCCATAGGGACTGACAGAGAGAGGTAGAGGGCATGGCGTGGGAGAGCTCAGGTGGGCAGGTGCATATGCAGGCACAGGCCAGAGCTCCCTCTGCAGGGAATGCACTGGAATGAGCTCTACCTTAGTGCTTACAAGAAGTCGGGGCTAGGAATGGTCTGGGCCATCATCACTTGGAGCCCTTACTTCATTAGTGGTGGGTTGTTATCAGCTAAGCCATGCATGTGCAGACAGACACAGTAGCAGAAGCATACACTTGCACTCAGACCTTCAAACACACCTGGAAATCCACAGCTCATACCCACAGGGACACATGGTACTAAAGCTAGCATTTTTTTTTTTTTTTTGAAAGAGAGAGAGCATGAGTGGAGAGGGGCAGAGGGAGAAGGAGAGACAGAATCCTTTTTTTTTTTCCTTCAAGATTTTATTTATTTATTTATTTGATGGAGAGCTAGAGAAAGAGGGCAGGACGGCAAGTCAGAGGGAGAGGGAGAAGCAGGCTCTCTGCTGAGTAGGGAGCCCGACGTGGGGCTTGATCCGAGGACCTTGGAATCATGACCTGAGCCAAAAGCAGATGCTTTGCTGACTGAGCCACACAGGCACCATGGAGAGACGGAATCCTTAAGCAGACTCCCTGCTGAGCACAGAGCCAGATAGGAGGCTCCATCTCACCACCCTCAGATCATGACCTGAGCTGAAATCAAAAGTCGGATGCATAACCGACTGAGCCTCCCAGGTGCCCAAAGCCAGCATTTTTTGGAAGGCTTACTTTGCTCCGGAGCATTGCTCTAAATGCCTTATTAACATATTTTAAAGTCAAACAACTCCTATTTAAGTAAGTAATTAATCCAAGAAAGATCTCTGAGCCAGTTAATGGTTGACCTGGGATCTGAACTCAGGCAGCTGGGCTCCAGGGAGCACACACAAGACTGATCTGCCGTCCTGTCCTGTGCATTCATGTGCACACAGTAACCTACAGTTGTAAACACACCAAGGACTAAACAACACGCATCAGACAGTCACACGCCCCGATGTGAGACATACACACATGCACACAACATATATAAGTGCACTCACGCATCCGCATGCATACACTGGGAAAGAGCGATACACAAAATCACACGTGTGTGGATATGCCCAGAACGCACATGCACATGTTTGCAATGATGCAAACATTTGTTGGCTGATCGGCTCTAGGTAGGAAAGCCTTCACTTAGAAACAGGCATGGTTGCAAGGCGCCCATGTAATTACTGGGCACTTGGTACCTTTCCTCCCGTAGGAAACACACCCCCAAGCAGTATGAAAGGCTTACAGGTAGAGCTTGGCTGATGCGTCCCTGACTTCCCTTGCCCTGCAAAGGCCCACGTCTGACCTCTTCTCTCTTCAGATCACACTGGCCACCATTGGCTACGGAGACAAGACACCCAAAACATGGGAAGGCCGCCTGATTGCGGCCACCTTCTCCTTAATCGGTGTCTCCTTTTTCGCCCTTCCAGCAGTAAGTACTTCAGCCTTCTCCCTAGTGTGATTGGTGGGACCCGTCCCCAGCCCCTGGCCCCAGCTGCCCCTTTCAGATTGTCCTACAGGTTGGGCTCCTCCAAATCCCAGTCTCAAGGCTGCTTTCTTTAAACGGACTTAGCTGACCCCTCCTCTGGGCATAACTCTCTAAAGGCACTTCTGACCCCGTGCTGCATCCCCCTCACCCCCCCACCCCCAGACTGTGAGCTCCCTGGGAGCTGGGATTATGTCGCCCACCCACGTCTCCCCAACACCTTGCATATGGCAGGTCCTTCGTCTACAGGTGCTCCCTTCCCTTGTCCTGCTGTTTCATTTACTGGCTTATGTCAAAAAAATGCACATCCCTCAAGAGTGAGTATCTGACCCATGATAGAATAACCCCCCCACAGCCTAGTGCCCATAAGTATAATGCAACAGTCACGGAAAACACTTATTAGACTTACTGTGTGCTGGACTCAGGCCAAATGCTTTACCTGCATCATCTCATTTAACTTCATTTAATGGCAACATGTGGAGTTTGGGGAGTTTTTGTCACTGTAGTCCAGATGAGAAAACAGGTTCAGTTAGGTCAGTTAGGTTTCCATGGTTGCAACGTTATTGGGTTGTGGACTCAGGCTCTTAATCATGAAGCTGGAAGGAACCTTCTTACGGAGCAAGCCTGCTTCTACCCCCTTCATCTCCCAGAGCTAGCCTCAGTGATATCCTTCCTCCACGGTTGCCTACCTTGTCTGTGTTTCCTAAGCTCGCTGACCTTGGGCATGTGACCTTTGTGAATCTCAGTGTCTTCATCTGGAACGAGTCAGGGGCTGTGGGGGGTATGGCATGGTCTCGAAGCTTTCTCCCAACTTGAAAAGGGAGTGCTTCTATCCACGTGCACATCTGACCTGGAAATCAAAACAGGTGACGATTCTGGGAAATTCCAGTAAAAGTCTTAAGTGACCAGCAGCTAAAATACTTTTTACCTCCCATTAGCATTTACCTGGCATCTGTTCTGTGTCATACATCTTAACAAACGGCTCCAATACATCATTTCACTTTTTGCTTAATGAAATTCTGAGGGAGGTAGTGTTAGCCCAGTTCCCTGTGGAGGAGTTGAGATGGAGTAGATAAGAGGCTTGCCCAGGCTCTCCCCTCTGGAAAGTGACAGAGTCAGGAACTGAAGCCAGGCCTTCCTAACATCAAGGCTCCACGTGACCCAGCCATCTACTCCCTAGAAGAGCAGAAAAGAGCCTTTGTGGCCCTGGGAGTGGGCGTGGGGCACCCAGAGAGGCCAGCAGGGCTGACCGGGGCCTGACTTCTCCCTGTAGGGCATCCTGGGGTCAGGACTGGCACTCAAGGTACAGGAGCAGCACCGGCAGAAGCACTTTGAGAAAAGAAGGAAGCCGGCCGCTGAACTCATCCAGGTCTGTCTGCCTGGGGAGGTACGGGGTTGGGACCAAGCTCCTGTGCATCTGCATTTGTCGGGGTGGGGGGTGGGGGGCGGGGGGGGTACTTGCACGGCGGGGGGCCTGCCTGGGGCTAGGCATGGGACCCGGCATGGGATCCAGGACCGTGCTCACTTGCAGACAGCTGTGGGTGTTCCTGTGGTGATCTTTGACCTGTCCTCATGGTATGAGCGTGACCATCCCAATGCTCCTCCATCCAGATTCTAAGTGAGAAGGAGACACAGGACTCCAACAGGGACCTAACACGCCATCAGCTGTTTTACGAACAGTGTTGGAGTGGAGAATTTAGCTTGCCCTAAGTCCATATGAGGCTTCTCCCCCTTCCACTTCCCACCTCCATCCTGACCTAAGGACACACAAGGAAGAGCCAGGCTAGAGTCCAGGTGCTTAGCCAATCGGCTACAAGGAGACGTGGCCCCTCACATATGCCAAGGACGGAGAATCCATAAGTCAAGAGAGAAGGAGACACCTTATATGTGCTCAATTTTGGACAGTTGGCCCCTTCGTCCTGCCCAGTAGACAATCATGCACCAGTAGGTGTTGGACGCCCAACAGCTCCATCACTCCCACACTGTGGGCTGGAAGTGGGGAGAATGTTGAGAGCTGGGGAGAAAGGCAGAAGTGTTCCTGTTCATGGTTTTGTGGGTACAGAGAAGAGGAGGGTGGGGTACCCTGACTACAGCTGCATGGGACCCAAGGTATATGTGACCACCCACCATGAAATTGCATCCAGTGTCCTGAGGGTCTCTGTGGGTCTGTGGGTCTGACACTGGATGGTACATGATATTCTCTTATATAATCTAGTGTGATGGCCAGACCACATCCCTAAGGGTCTGGTCCATTATCCCCCAGGCCCCAGACCATCACAGTAGCCCTGAAGTTTTAGTACATTAGAATCGAAACTTCGTCTCCGGGGTCATCTATTGCAACTGATGTGGCACAAAAGACAGTGTTTATCCCCCTAGCTGTTTAAGAAGTCTCAGGGAAACTTGCAGCAAGAGTCACCCCTGCTCCTTCTGGGGATTTTATACCCAGCACCCTCTTCTCCTTCCACTGCATTGCTCCGTACCCCCGCCCCATGGTATAAGTCAGGGCTCCAAAATGATGGATGGAAGAAGGATTCCTTCTACAGGATCTACGTGCCAGGAAACTTGCCTTCTCTGCCTATCACCTCAATGCATATTTAAGCTCTTAGAGGAGTCAGGGGCTCCTCTAAGGGAGGAGGGGCTGTGGGATTCCGTGGGAGTTGAGTGATGCAGGGTGATCTGGTGACCCCAGCCCCTCTTCTCTCCCCCCAGGCTGCCTGGAGGTATTATGCTACCAACCCCAACAGGATTGATCTTGTGGCTACATGGAGGTTCTATGAATCAGTCGTCTCTTTTCCGTTCTTCAGGCAAGTGGTGACCTGTCTGAATGCTCTGGGGGTGACTGGCCGTCCCTCCTGTGGGTCTGTTTGTGCCTGTGGTTTCACAGTTTCTTGGAGAATGGGGCATGGTTCCTGGTGTATGCCGCCTATTAGAATCACTGGGAGCTTAAATAATCCCAAAGCCCAGGCCACACCCTCAGTTAATTAAGTCAGAACCCCCGAGAGTGGGGGCCAGGCATCTATATCATTTGAAGCTCTCCAGGTGACCCCACCAGAGATTGCCAGCTAGACAGTGTAGAGTGGCTGACAAGAGAGGGTCTGATCATTGTTTGAGCAGGGCCAGTGTCTGAGGAAATGGGGAGTGGGCCTCACGAGCAGTCCTGGATGCTCCCCCTGTGAGGCTATGGCCTGTACCCACGGCACGGGTTTTTCCGGATACTGGGAACAGGCAGGCTCAAGAGGCAGTGGGAGGAATCCTCCAATGACCCAGAGATGTTGTTTTGTGTTCTTAGAGGTGGGAGATTAATTTAAAGGTCTCAAGGGCACCTGGGTGGCTCAGTTAAGCATCTGACTCTTGATTTCAGCTCAGGTCTTGATCCCAGGGTCCTGGGCTCGAGTCCCACATTGGGCTCCATGCTCATCGGTGAGTCTGCTTCTCTCTCTGTCCCTCTCCCATCTTGTGCTCTCTCTCTCTCAAATAAATAAATTAAATATAATTAATTAATTAATTAATTAATTGCCTCAGGAAAAAAAAATAGAAACCTCTGCCCACGGCCAACCCCTGTGACAAGGAAGAGGGAAGTTCATACTCCCTGGATATCCAGTACATCCGAGGGAGCCAAGTTCATACTTTGTTCACTCCTCAAAGGCGTCCTACAAGGAAGGCCAGAGGCTCTCAGATGCTAAGGTGCATTAAATTAGCCGGGTGCTTTGGAAGTGTGGGTCGTAAACCGCCTTCAGCCACTTCAAGGGTGCAGGCTGAGTAAAGCCTCTTGGACAGATGCCCTGTCTGACAGGGTGATACAGGCTGAGAGGTCGGGTCACCAGACTCCTCTCACAGCGGGGCGAGCTGGGGTCCAGAAACTTCAGACATTCTGGCCAATGTCTGCCATATCAAGAGGCCCCCAAAGTCTGTGGCTGTTTTACTACTTGGGCTGTTAAGACAAACCAAGCCTCACGCCTCTCTGGGTGTTTGTTTGTTTGTTTTTTTCATTTATTATTTTATTTTGTTATGTTAGTCACCATACAGTATGTTGTTAGTTTTTGATGTAGTGGTCCACGATTCCTTGTTTGTGTGTAACACCCAATGCTGCATGCAATACATTCTGTTTGTTTTTAGATTTTATTTATTTATTTGAGAGAGAGAGTGAGAGAGAGAGAGAGAGAGAGAGCATGTAGGAGCAGGGGCAGAGGGAGAGGGAGAAGCAGGCTCCCCGCTGAGCAGAGTGCCTCTCTTGGGACTCGATCCGAGGACCTTGAGATCATGACCTGAGCCAAAGGCAGATGCTTAACCAACTGAGTCACCCAGGCACCCCCTCTCTAGGTTTTAGATCCTGCGATCCTGAGCTGGGATTTACAGTGTGTGGATGAAATGAGGAACCGCCCTACCTCTTGGGTTGGGAGGAAGAGTAGAGGGACACTCAGCCTCACACCTGGAGCTGGGCCCGGCTCTGAAGCATGTTTCTTCCACACCCCTTTGGTTTCATGGACCCAACACTAGCCAAGTGGCCCCTGCATCCCCAGCCCATGCTCCCACTTACTTATCATGGGACCTACGCCCAGTCCCTTCACCCCTATCACCAGATTGTGACACAGATTTAAGGAGAGTCAAGAGATCTGGGTTCCACTGGCTCATTTCCCTGCACTAAACCTTCGAGGAGATGACTGAGATAGAGAGAATAAAATCCACAACCTGACCATGGACGACAGAGCCCTGAGAGCTCGAGCTTACCTCTCCCATCTCACTCCTGCAGAGCTGCTAGTGGCAGGTGCTGCTTCTTACTCAGGGCATCCCATCCACCAATCACAGGTGGCAGATGAAGGAATCTGACCTTGGTCCCGAGCCGGAGTATGACATAATAGGATCCGTGTTTCAGGACGATGACAGGAAGGGTTTGGAGATGGATGGGAAAGGTTCAAGATTCTAAGCAGGGAGATCAGCTAGCAAAGGCCTGCAGCATTCAGGGTGAGAGCAAGCCAGGGTGTAGACCAAGGTAGAAACTTGAGAAGGGCGATGCGGCGAGTGAATAAGCAAGGAGGAGGGATATCAGGGAGTTATGACTGGCAGAGGACTTAGGGAGAGAGAAGAATCAAGGCTTCTGCGAATGAGTGATGGAGTTTGGGTTTATAGACCGTGTCTTCTCACCAGCAGTTAGATTCACTGCCTCAGAAGACGGTCTCTTTGGTTCACTTCCATTCTAAAGTTCCATTTGTGTCATCATCATTTCTGGTTGGAGATGACATCTGTCTTCTTTTGGGTCTCAAGAGTCTTTGAAAGGGAAGGGGGCCTCCCTTGAAGAGGACAGAATGACCTTGGACTCAGAGGCAAGAACAGGTGCAACCCCTCTGAGTGCAGAACCAAAATTATTTCCATTTGCTATGCAGCCCAAGGTCTTGGCCAAAGGCCCATTCTTTTGGGGTGATTTATTATAAGTAAGGCATTGTCCTGGCTGTCAGGGACTTGGAGGAATACATTGTACTGCAGACAGCTGCTGTGATATGGGAATGGCTTTTAAACTGAGAATCAATCTCTTTCTTTCCTTCTTTCTTTCTCTTTCTTTCTTTCTTTCTTTCTTTCTTTCTTTCTTCATTTCTTTCTTTCTTCCTTCCTTTCTTTCTTTCTTTCTTTCTTTCTTTCTTTCTTTCTTTCTTTCTTTCTTTTTTCCTTTCTTCCTTTTTTCCTTTCTTCCTTTCTTCAAGGACAAAAATATCAAGTCACTAGACAGGTTCACTTAACAACCATTCTGAAACAACACAGTCCCTTGGGAAAAGAATGTCCCTGAATTCCAACCCACTCGATATGTTTCATGGCAAAGCTGTCCTCACCTGCCGCCTATAGGTTTTTTGTCTTTTGTTTATGCTTTTCTAAAAAAAATTAATAATTATGTTTTTCTAAAAATAAAATTAATAAAATTTATTAATTAATAAAAATTAGTAAAATAAGAACTTTATTATGTTTCACTTACTCTAAAAAGTACTTTTGAAAGTGAACAATTCAGTGTTTTTTAGTATATTCACACAATAGTGCCTTGAACACCACTATCTAGTTCCAGAACATTTTATTGCCCCAGAAAGAAACATTGTCCCCATTAGAAGTTATTCTTGGCTCCCCCTTTTCTCCAACCCCTGCAACCTCGAATCTATCTTCTGTCTCTATTCTATCTATTCTGGACTTTTCATATAAAAATGAAATCCTACAATATGTGGTCATTTAGTCATGGTTTCGTTTCCTTAGCATGTGTTTTAGGTTTCATCTGGTTGTCCTGTGTATCAGAACTTGATTCCTTTTAATGATTGAGTAATATTCTATTACAGAGCCCCATTTTGTTTATCCATTCAGCAGGTGATACACATCTGGGGGGTTTCCACTTTTTGGGCTATTATGCTGATGTCCACATTGTGTGGATGCAAGTTTTCGATTTTCTTGGGTTTATACCTAGGGGTAGAATGGGTAACTCTGTTTAGCTTTTTGAGGAAGTGCCAGACTGGTTTTCCATGGTGGTGGCATATCTGACATTCCTCCCAAAGACTTTGCAGGATGAAGGTGCATAGCCCATCCTGAGGAAGGGTGCCATATCAGGGTTTCCAGCTCAGTGCAGTCCTTCGTGAATTCTCAAGGATATATATGTTTAGGGCTAATGGTGATGGATGATAGTGATGGATATCTTTTTTTTTTTCTTTTGTTACTACTTAAAATTATAAACTCAGTGTTTCTGAACTGTAAAGAAATTCAGAGAGTTTTAAGTCCAAACTCAGCTTAATAGAAGAAGGAACTGAAGTGTCCTGGAGTTCAGAAACTTTCTCACGACCACACATCATGTTGGGGATGGTTGAGACCCAGCCCATATCTTCTGACTTCTTGACCAGTGAAGATTGTGTACACTTAGGACAAAGAGGCATTGGGAGTCTGAGAAGGTACAGGGAGAACCTTAGGGGTTGATAGATCGTATGTTCTTATGTGCAAACACCTGTGAATGCAGACATTTAAGACCACCTGTTGCTTTCTATCAACAGGGAATGTGCATGCCACTTGGTTTCTTTTTTTTCTTTTTTTTTTTTTTTAAATGAAAGAACACATTTTTATTTTATTTATTTTTTTTTAAGATTTTATTTAATTATTTGTCAGAGAGAGAGAGGGAGAGAGAGCAAGCACAGTTTCCTTTCTTCCTTTTTTCCTTTCTTCCTTTCTTCAAGGACAAAAATATCAAGTCACTAGACAGGTTCACTTAACAACCATTCTGAAACAACACAGTCCCTTGGGAAAAGAATGTCCCTGAATTCCAACCCACTCGATATGTTTCATGGCAAAGCTGTCCTCACCTGCCGCCTATAGGTTTTTTGTCTTTTGTTTATGCTTTTCTAAAAAAAATTAATAATTATGTTTTTCTAAAAATAAAATTAATAAAATTTATTAATTAATAAAAATTAGTAAAATAAGAACTTTATTATGTTTCACTTACTCTAAAAAGTACTTTTGAAAGTGAACAATTCAGTGTTTTTTAGTATATTCACACAATAGTGCCTTGAACACCACTATCTAGTTCCAGAACATTTTATTGCCCCAGAAAGAAACATTGTCCCCATTAGAAGTTATTCTTGGCTCCCCCTTTTCTCCAACCCCTGCAACCTCGAATCTATCTTCTGTCTCTATTCTATCTATTCTGGACTTTTCATATAAAAATGAAATCCTACAATATGTGGTCATTTAGTCATGGTTTCGTTTCCTTAGCATGTGTTTTAGGTTTCATCTGGTTGTCCTGTGTATCAGAACTTGATTCCTTTTAATGATTGAGTAATATTCTATTACAGAGCCCCATTTTGTTTATCCATTCAGCAGGTGATACACATCTGGGGGGTTTCCACTTTTTGGGCTATTATGCTGATGTCCACATTGTGTGGATGCAAGTTTTCGATTTTCTTGGGTTTATACCTAGGGGTAGAATGGGTAACTCTGTTTAGCTTTTTGAGGAAGTGCCAGACTGGTTTTCCATGGTGGTGGCATATCTGACATTCCTCCCAAAGACTTTGCAGGATGAAGGTGCATAGCCCATCCTGAGGAAGGGTGCCATATCAGGGTTTCCAGCTCAGTGCAGTCCTTCGTGAATTCTCAAGGATATATATGTTTAGGGCTAATGGTGATGGATGATAGTGATGGATATCTTTTTTTTTTTCTTTTGTTACTACTTAAAATTATAAACTCAGTGTTTCTGAACTGTAAAGAAATTCAGAGAGTTTTAAGTCCAAACTCAGCTTAATAGAAGAAGGAACTGAAGTGTCCTGGAGTTCAGAAACTTTCTCACGACCACACATCATGTTGGGGATGGTTGAGACCCAGCCCATATCTTCTGACTTCTTGACCAGTGAAGATTGTGTACACTTAGGACAAAGAGGCATTGGGAGTCTGAGAAGGTACAGGGAGAACCTTAGGGGTTGATAGATCGTATGTTCTTATGTGCAAACACCTGTGAATGCAGACATTTAAGACCACCTGTTGCTTTCTATCAACAGGGAATGTGCATGCCACTTGGTTTCTTTTTTTTCTTTTTTTTTTTTTTTAAATGAAAGAACACATTTTTATTTTATTTATTTTTTTTTAAGATTTTATTTAATTATTTGTCAGAGAGAGAGAGGGAGAGAGAGCAAGCACAGGCAGACAGAATGGCAGGCAGAGGCAGAGGGAGAAGCAGGCTCCCTGATGAGCAAGGAGCCCGATGTGGGACTCGATCCCAGGATGCTGGGATCATGACCTGAGCCGAAGGCAGCCGCTTAACCAACTGAGCCACCCAGGCGTCCCGCCACTTGGTTTCTTAAATGTTGTGGTAGAATTATCTAAGGCACATCTGTATTGTTTGATATGGTACCACTAGCCATTTGTGGCTTTTGAGTGTCTGACTGTTACTAGTGCCACTGAGGAATTACATTTTAGATTTTATTTAATTTTAAATTAGTCATATGTGACTACTGGCTACCATATTGGACAAACATTAGATATTAGAACTAAAATGGAGGCAAGACTTAGGCCCAAGAGATAGAAGTTACTTGACTAAGAAGACCCAGTTTATTTTTTGTTTAACCAGAACTTGCTCCTTCTCTGACAAGCATCAAGATAGTTGGAGGGTTCTGCAATAGAGAAGGGGACATATGTAGCTATCCTTCCTCATGGCCAAGTAACATGGATCTGCTTTCGTAGATGCTCATTTCATCTTTCGAATGCTCTGGAAGAGAAGAAGGGGTAACATCATTTTCATAATCCAGATATTATTAGTGAGGAATCAGAGCATCAGTGAGATTAATTAGCTTGCCTAATGTCACCCCTGTAGTAAGTGGTGGAACAAAGGTGAGAACCCAGGTCTTATGCTAAAGCCCATTGTAACTTAGGGAACAAAAAGTTTTGGGGGAAGAAAACTGGGTAAAATTAAGATGAGGGAAGGGTTACTAGGATAATCATACCCATTTCAGAAGATTCTTGTCATGAAGGTCAAACTGAACACAATGCATGGAAGCTCCTGTCACAGTACCTGGCCCAGAGCAGGTGTTCAGTCTCTGCTGTCTGGGCTGGAAGGAAGTATTGGTGTTCTAGCAAGAAAGAAAGACACTAAGCACCCAAATATAGTCATGGGAAACCACAGTCAGTGAGTAACAACAGGGCTAAAACACTCTGTCTGGAATGTCGTTAAAATCTTTTATTTATTTATCCCATTCATTCATCAAGTGTTTACTAAACCTCTCTTATGTGCAAGGCACTGTGGACATAACAACGAACAGAAAGGGGTCAGCTCTGCTGATCTTGTGACAACGTTGATGGAGACACAGACAGGGAAGTGCCTACTGGATGTTTATCCCTTGGAGTTTGTTGGAGCTTTGCCTGGAGCAATCTCAGTGGAGCGATGGGCATAGAAACCAGCTTGCAAGGACCAGAGAGTGACGTGGAAATGAGCACATGGAGACAGCAAGTGCAGTTGCCAGCTGGAGTGAAATGTGGGGCCAGGGCTCTTGCCTTGACTGAAAGAGTCTAGTGGAGAGGGATGGATGTGAATAGAGTGCAGAGGGGAGGGACTGGAGGAGAGAGCGGGGCAGAAGGATGGGTTCTGAAGCACGAGTGGAGGATTGATGTCAGGGTCATGGACCCTGCATCTGTGTGAACAGAAGGGAAGCAGAGTGGGCAGGGCCAAGTGTTCGAGGTTGCTGACTCGGTGGGGGGACACAAGGCAGCTCTCTCTCTGTGAGAAATGAATCAAGGTCATAGCCTGAGAGGGAGAGGAGAGGTGGGAAGTGTGATAATAGAGAAAGCATGGAATCCTTGTCTTGGAGAGTAAGAAAGGAAATGGAGGGTGGGCTCTATCTCCTTAACACTTCTCCCCATGGTGCCCTGTATGGGTCCTGCCCTCTGCCCACCCCCTACCTTTCCCCTCTCCTCTCAGTGCTCTCCCTACTTCCAGAGTCAGACACCCAGAGAATTCTAGAAAGGCAGAGCATTTTCTGTACACATGCTTCAGGTAGAGGGATGGGTCCAGAGGATGTGTGACCCATCCAAGGCCACCTGGGATTAGAGAGGGAGCTGACCCATGAGCTGGAGACCCTTGGCTGGTCCCTCTGCTTCTCTACCATGATGCCTCTTATTTGCTCCCCATTTCTTCCCCATTTGCTCCCTGATCCCAGGGATAAGCCACTTATTCATGCAGCATCTATTGTGCATTTCCCATGTGCCAGGGTATGGGATGCTCAGATTTCAGAGCTGAAAACAACAGAGGTTCTGCTCCAAGCAGCTCATAGACTATCATGTGATTGTACAATGGTGGGATCAGAATTCAGTCCCATGTGTGAAGAGCTTAGCTCAGCCTAGACCCTGGGAATATGGTTAAGAAATTTCAGGAGGGGGGTGCCTGGGTGGCTCAGTGGGTTAAGCCTCTGCCTTCAGCTCAGGTCATGATCTCAGGGTCCTGGGATCGAGCCCACATCAGGCTCTCTGCTCAGTGGGGAACCTGCTTCCCCCCACCCCTGCCTGCTGCTCTGCCTGCTTGCGATCTCTCTCTCTCTCTGTCAAATAAATAAATAAAATCTTCTAAAAAAAAAAATAAGAAAAGAAATTTCAGGAGGGGCCCCTTCAGCTGGGACTTGAAGGATGAACAACACTGTTCCAGGCAGAGCCTGGGCAAAGGCTCGGTGTCTGGAATGTGTGCATACCACTCGTGGTTAGGAGGGTGGGCTCTGGAGCCAGATCACCTGGGTTCAAATCCTGACTCTGCTACTTCCTAACTGTGAGAACTTGAGCAATGTTCTTTACCTCTCTGCCTCAGTTTTGTCATCATGAAAATGGGAATGATACTACTCCTTCCCTCATAGAGTTGTTATGAGGGTTAAGTGAGTTAATCCATCAAAAGAACCGAAAATAATATCTGCCTAATAATTATTGCTCAGTAAATATTAGCAGAGATGGGGATGATGTCGATGATGATGACATGGTGACAGAGTGATGTGGGGTGTGGTGCTAAGTGATGCAATTCCTGGTTTTTTCTGGTCTCTCCCCACTGCTAAACAAATCCCTTGAGCCCCACATGAGGCCTGGGCCAGAGCAGGTGCTTGGCAACCATTCTCTGGGTGAGTAAATGAATGAATGGGCGGGAGGAACCCTGAGAGCTTAGGGCCAGGCCTTTGTGGCGGGACCTGGGGTCTGGCTGGAGAAAGTCAGCTCATTCACTGGTTCCCCCGCAGACTCACCATCTCACCTAAGATCACCACTGTGTGCCTTCGCCTTCCTCAAGGGACGCTTTGGGGCCAATTGTGGGGAGAAGTGAAGCTGTTCATGCAATTTATACCTTCTCTATATTTTTCTTTCTCATCCCCTCTTAGGAAAGACCAGCTGGAAGCAGCAGCCAGGTACGTTTCTGATCATGAATTCCCTTCTTCCCACCATGATGTTGGGACAGAGGAGCCAGTTCAGTATGGTGTATGGACCCTGGGCAGCATGGTGGTCTTGAGCTCAAGTTTAGGGCTCATTGCTGTTGCTGACTACTGTATTCTTCTGCCATTTTCATGTTAATTTACTCAAGGACAACTCAGTTGTGATCATAGCTACAGCCACTCGGCGAGCAGGACCACCAGGAATTCTGTGCCTGGAGTTCTTACATATGTTGTCTCACTTGGTCCTCAAAACCACATTGTAAGACCATCCTTAGTACCCTCACTTCTGGATTGACACTGAGGCTCAGAGCGTCTTGAGTTATCCCCCTTGTGTCACACAGCTACCGAGTGACAAGACCAATATTCCAACTCAGGTCCGAATTTGAAGACCACATTGTTTCCATTATATATTGCTTCCTTTGTTTCTCAGGTTCACAGATGCCTCCTCAAAAAGTCAATCATGAGGATCATTCATGATCCTCAGGAAACCCCAGCCGACCGGGCTGCTGCAAGGACAGGGTGGGCTTCTGGATTCTGGGCACGTCTGTGTCCCTCCCTTCTCTCTCCCTCTCCATAAGATGTCACCACATCAGGGACACTCTGGCCCCTGCTCAAGATTGTAAAGAAATGCCATCTCTCACCCACATCAGTTTATTTATAGATTTATAACTATAAATGTAGATGTACTTTAATCTCTTACTTTGAGAACCTACTCGTGAGACCTTGTCCTCTGTCTCCTGGACACTGGGCTCAACTGCTGCTTTCCAGAGCTGACGGAATGGGAGTGCCAGGGCTGGTGGGACCCTAGGCCACATTATAAAGGAACCACTTAAAGACAATGACCTTTGGGAAGCTAGGTCACAGCTTCTTGCGTGGGGCCCATGATGCCCTATCCCATCTGGAACCCCTCTTGGAAGAAACATTTACAGACACACCAGCTAACTCGCACACAGACGCTCAGTTCAGACTTCCTGCTTCCCTTGTGTGTGTCCTCAAACGGATGGAGTGTTTCTTGCCTGGACCCCTTTTGGACTGTAGGGGCATTTGGGGATTGTAGGGGCCAATGACTGACAATGACAGTGTCAGGGGACATTTGTCATCAGAGAACCAGCTCGCAGAGGCAGAGCAGGAAGATACCTCAGATAGCATCCCCTAGATACAGCTGTTGAGGCTGAGATGCTGTCGTTAAAGAGGGCAGGTTCACCCCAAATCCAGAGCCTGTGAGCCCCAGGATTACACAGTCTAAGTCACAGGACTCCCAAAGGGGTACTTTGTCCTCTCTTTCTCTCGGGACCAACAGAATTTTGAATCATAAAGGTGTTGACATTATAAGTGAATTACCCCATAGACTTGAGAGCCTTTTCTACGGAGACATGAGCAAAATTCAGCCAAATTGGAATGTATGTGCAAAATACCACATGTACATCAGATCATGCACTCCTGGCTTAATTGGAGCCTGGGGAGATTTATTCTGAGGGTTTGTTGAGATGCTCTCCAGTTATCAGAAAGGAGCTGTCTGGAATCTCAGCATGTTCTTCATGCTCCTCTCGAGAACTCTCTGCTCTGTCATGGGTGCAGAGGGAAAGCACATTTCATGATTTCTCAGAGTTGCCAGCCTTTCGCTGGCTCATCCCTCCCCACCCCGCCCCACCACCAGGAAGAAGAACAAGGTCTGTTACGTAAGCCATGCGATCTCCCTTTCCAGGCTCTGGTGCAGTATTTTGGTTTTGTTCAGCAAAGAGGTTGGCTGATGGATTGGCAGGTGAGATACCAGGTGTGATTTTAGCTGTGAAGCTGGGAGACGGGGCATGAGACCTGGCGAATGTTCTGGGGGAGCCATCGACCCAGGTGTCATCAGTTCCTTTATCCAGGAGGACAGAGAGCAAGGCGAGAGAATGATGAGCAGTGTTCATGTGCATTAAGTGAATCCTTGCCGATGGATGTTTTCCAGCCTTTGTATTAACTTCTTCAACAGGCTGCCAGGTAACTGGTGTTTTGGTCTTAGTTATTATTTTTTCTAAATAGCCAGAATCAGATTGGAGTTCATCTCACTGCCCCCTCTAGGCATAGGCGGTCCACACCTCTGTTCATGTGTCGGACTGAGGAAAGTATTCTGTTCTCTGTAACTTAATGTATCTCGGTTCTCTGTGGGGGGTAGGAAAAAGGAATTTCATCAGCTTATTGGAAAGAGCTCCAGCCCATCGTTGCTTATAAATCTGTTGCTTGGCCCCACACCCCTCCAAGGGTCAACAGAGAGATGAGCTTCTCTAGTCGCAAGATCAGGGCTACTTTGACTGTTTGGGGAACTTGAGCCCTGCTGACATCCGACAATGGCTGAGAAGTCGGCTTTGATCATTTTATGCTTCTTGGGATCTATGATTCTGGGGCTAGTCAGAAGGAAGAGAACCAGCTTCTGTTGTGTGCTTACTAGGATCTGAATACTTTCCTAGGTCGTCTTAATTAATTTGCATAAAAAACGAGGCAGCTGTCATAAATACACCCTCATCCCTTCTTACCCCTCGTGGTACCCTGAGGTAGGTCTCATCACTCCCCTAGTAAAACCTTTGTTCTGTGTACAGTCAAAATTTAAATTCTCTCTTCCTCTCTAGACCATGAGCTAACACTGTGCCTGAAGTATAGGGTGTTCCCCCCAAAATTTATTTGCTGAATGAACAAACGAATGACTTAATGAAGGAGGTTCTCTACCATCATTTTACTTGCGTGACATTGAGCTCAAGTATTTAGTTAACTTACACCTTCGCCAAGCACAGAAGTAGCCAAGGTGGGGATTTCAAGTTCGGGTCCATCTGGCTGGACTGGATCATATCAGGTTGAGTCCCACTCTGGCTCAGGTGATTACCATGCCCTGCTTGTCCTCAGGGGTAGAGAGTGAGCTCGGTTAGTCTGAAGACCCAGGAACTTGGCACTTGTGCTCTCTCAGCCAGGAAATCTTAGATCCCGTCTTCATACAGCTCATTCCTTCACGTCATTCAGAACTCTGCTTAACTCACCTCCCAAGAGAGACCCTCTTTAACCCTGTGCCTGTGCGCCATCAGTCTCTATGCCCTTGATCCTACTCCATTTTCATTGTTAGCACTGATGAATATCTACTGTATGTTTATTTCTTGTCTGTCTTCCATATTAGGTAGAATGCCTCCAAGGGGCTGTGTTATTATCTCCAGCACCTAAAACAATGCCTGGAACACAGCCTAACACTTGGTTAACTTTCAGCAGTATTAACTTACTAACAAAGTGGGTGGGCATGGGGGTGGATGGATGGATGGATGGATGGACGGACAGACAGAAAAAGTCTTATTCTACAAGTGTCATAAACCCAACTTAAACTACCTTGGACTAAGAGACAGATGTAATGGCTCACATAGCCACCCATCAGAGAGAGTGAGATCCCCGAGAAACAAGGAATGGGATTCTTCTGGTATTTCTCTTTTCCTCTCTTGTTTCCACTTCTCCTTTCTTGTTACATTTTCTCACTGACTTTCTACATGCTGATGAAGGTGTGGAGACAAGCAGCTCTGTGATCACATCCTTTTTTCATCCTTCTCTACCTGTCCTTCACCCAATACCTGTTTGGGAAACCCCAAAGAAACACTTAGATTGGCCCAATTTTGGTCACATATTCATGCCTTGGACAATGTGTATGGTTCAGAGAGTAAGAGGCTACGACTAGACAAACTCTGGGGCCTCTGTCCACCTGTTAGAGTGAGCAGTGTGGGTTCCAGATGCCAGGAGGGACAGCCCCCATTAGAACTTCTTGGTTGAAGTTGGAGGAATCAGTTCCCCATTTAAATAGGGTCTTTTTCCCCCAGAAAACAGAGGATAGAAACATAATGCAGGCAAAAATGATAGCTGCCTATGACAGTATAAATCCCACCTGAAGTTTTTCAAATAACTACAAATAATGTGCATTAAAGAACATCAACAGTAAACCATACTGAGGCTCATTTAATCCATGTATTATACCAGAAAAGACTGATAATTTATGGTAGGGACATCATTTTAAACCTCATTCACAATTTTTCAGTAGACATGAAGCGGGGCCAATAATGAGAGGCATTTGTTTGGAAGAAAATAGTGTTTTGTGCATTTTCAAAACAGGTAACTGTGTTGACAATAACGGCTTGCTTGAGCCATATTGTTTACTTTGTATTTTCAAACAATTCCATCTTAGCAACGGCATTCAGGACTCTTCTGCTCTGTATATATCTTTGGAGAGGGAAGATATTCATCCCAGGCCTCTTTATTTCCTGTCTCATTGTTATGTCCTCCCGTTTTCAGAGCTCTCCCCTTTAGTAGTCAAAAGTAGTTCTTTTGGGTCAAGGAATTTAAGTATAATAACAATAACTTATAAAGAATGTTTCCTGTTTGCCAGGTATAATTCTGTATACATCTAGCCATCATAGCCACCCTAATGGGGAAGATACTACTTTGAATCCCTGTTTAACAGACAAAAAACCTAACGTTCAAAGAGATAAGTGATTTTTCAGGATCCTGCAGGTAGGCAGTGGCAAGAACGAAAATTGATCTGGTTGGGTTAGGGCCATGGTGTGTGGGTCCAGCCACCGTGCTGGTCGTCATAGTTCTCAGAGACAGTTAGGTGGTTGCAATCAGTCACCACTGGTGTCCCCTTTTGCTTGTTTGGTTTTCTTCTGCAGCTCCTGGGCTCGCTGTAGCTGGAGTCCTTAACATGAGAGGAGGCTGTGGAGGCAGAGAAAAGCACAGAGCCAGGGTCTCCTACGGAGTGAAGGAGCATCTGGTCAGACACTATAATTCACACTTTACCTTCTTCCTGTGACACTGGCCACCTGAAATTGATCTCACAGGGTGACGGATGATGTTGGCAGTAAATCTCCTTCTGTGCCTTGGAATCAACGCCTGTTAAAAGTGCACAGGAATTTAGAGGCTAATCTAATCCCCCAATTTTACTGATGAGAAAATTGTTGCCCAGAGCAAAATAA